TGGTGTGCTTCATCTTTAAGTTTAGTGCTCTTTACCAGGTCAGCAGAATTTTTAAACTAATAATAATCACAGTACACCTTCATAGAAACCCATAGTATTTCTAATACCTGGATAAATAAGAATAAAAACACTAAATAAAATGTATGAACTAAAATAAACTGCTACCACATAGGACAAAGTATCTGTTGATGTGCTTAAGTTGCATAAAAGGAAGACAAAATTACTGTTTGAAATATCGTACCTATTCTAATTGATGAAGAGGTATCAGATACCAGTCATGGAGAACCTTCAAATAATAAGAGACAATACAAATTCTTGTAGGGTGAACCTCAACTGTTACTTGATTCCTATCTTCAATTATATTAAGTGTCCTAGCATTGTTTTATTGGGTTTGTTTAAATCATTAGTGATGCATTGGAGGAGAAGGATACTGTTATTCGTACTGAGGTGGTAACAGAATACCATTAAAATGGTTGCTTATTACAAGTATATTTGAAAAGATTGATCAAAATATAACTATTGCTTCAGGTGAGACTTTTCCCATAGGAGATGTGTGTTATAACTGAAGAGAGAGTTTGGAAAGATGACAACGATCCTTTAAGTGTAATTGCGGCTGTACATTTTTACATTTACTTGTATGAGTTTAAAAAGTCAGTTAAGACATTCCGTTAATTTTAGTTAAAGATTTCCATAAAGCTTTTTTCTGTAGGCTGTAGGCTCTTTTATACAACCTCTAATTGATTATCAAGCTGATATTAAAGGGAAGTAAACTAAACTTGAAATACTTAATGTAACAGGTCCACATTACCTTCTCTTCCTGTACTAATCTGGAGTTTGAGGCAGTAATTCTTCTGAAATGATAGGCCCAAAACAGAGAATATCCTCAGCAAATCTCCTATTTCTTACTTTCATCTTCTGTAATTTTTAAGACAACTGTCTATTACTCTTTCTGGTAGTTCTAAATTCTTTACTGCTTCTAGAGTATGTAGAGTATGTAGAGTATGTATGTATGTAGAGTATGCAGTGCACATGTGCAACATGACCAGAAAACCAGGCTTCAGTATTCATAATCTATTCTGCATAGATTTGAAGAGCATGATCACAGAGGGGCTGCTCAAGTGCCCTCCCACTGTGTTCCAAGCAATCAAATTAACCCAGGCTGACTTAGCTTCAGTACAGGCAGAAAGGTATACAGCTACATGGTAATTACTGTGCCACTGCTCTGTGCACTCAGAATGTTAACCAGGGGTGGGATCGTAGAAGCAGATTCCCTCTTTCACCAGTAAGTTTTTGCTTTCTGAATGACCAATGTGAAATTGCATCTGACTGGGAAAATAAAAGAGGAACCATAATCTTTTAGCTACAGTTGACAAAGACGACAGAGCCCTTGTAAATGCTGGCTTTTTCACGAAGAAGATGGGAAAAGAAATCACAAAAATGGAAACAGGGAGGAAAATTGTGGTAACATAATCTATGATTTAACTACATGCAGTGAACATGCACTTACCTGACACCAACTCCAATAGCTTTCTGCTTATCTGAGTTTCTAACATGTCTGTTCTTCTTCCCCATATGCCATTTCTATGCAAAACCACGGTTTTGAATAAAAATGAAGTGGCTTTAGTTGTACTGTAACTGGAAATGCTTTTCCAAATGTGTGTGCATCTCAAAATAAAGGAATAACACTTGTATGCTGAAGAAGTATACAAAGAATGTACACCGAGGTAATTTTATAAGGCCAGTCTATAGGTCTGTTGATTTCAAGTTAATGTACTTGTAAGTAAGTGGATCACTATAGCAGTAGGGTTAGGAATATCTGTTTAATCTTAACCAGTTTCTCTGTGATAGAATTAAGCTATAGCTCATGAAACACCATTCAGATGAAATGCTTAATTATAAAAACACAGATTACACTATTTTTTTTAAGATTTCTGGAAAAGCTTGCTAGGATGAAAAAAGATTAAATAAAAAAAATTATCACAGAGATGTATTTATTGAACAGCAACATCTACCAAAAATAGTTCTAAGTAGCCGCTATAGTAAATAGAAACAAAGTATTTTATCTGTGTAACAATTTTTAGTAACTAGTGATGGTGCATGAAAAGCTGAAAAATACTGTATCTGTATTGCATTCATGGTTTGTCTCATGGTCACTTATAGGAAAACTGGATCTTTATTCTCTGCATCTATTTCTCCTTTTTTTCTCTCACTCTTCCATTTCTCAAGTATTATGGGGCTAATAATGATGAGGAAAACAGACTTACGCCCTCACAGAGAAATAAGCACATAGAGCAGAGGAAATACTGAAGAACTAAAATATCTTGTCATGCAAATACCAAATAATTCAAATCCAGGAAAGAATAAGAAATAAGTTATTTTAAACAGTTTTCTTTGCACCTGCTAATAATAGTCCTGGCAGAGTTTTGTTTTCTGCTTGTCTTACAAGAAATCAGCTTTGACTGTGTGGACTGAATTTTTTTTTAGGTATACATTTGTTGAAGATAAGATGGAATGGAGAAATAGTCCTGATGGAAGGTTTTGAGAAAACCTTGGTGGCTGCAGAGATCCTGCTCATTCTAGTGCATTTCCCAGCCTATTCATATAATTCTCTATTGCTGTAGCATCAGCAGTTTTCATAGTACCACTAATACAAACAAGTGATAACACATGGTGATGACTCAGCTGAATATGATGAGTTCACCCTGGATCTGAGGCACTTAAGTCCAGTTTTGGCCACCTTTTGGAAATTGGGGACTGTGTTTATCTTGCCTGAATCAAAGAAATCTAAACAAAGAAATGTGTGATAAGACACAATTTGATCTGTTTAAAAGTAGCTCTAGAAAAGAGGCTGCCTTGACAGTAAGTATTCTGAAGGAGGCTTGGATTCTTGAGAGCTGCTTGTTCTAGCAACTAGAACATCCCATAAATGTTTCTTTAAAAAAAACCCTTCTGAAGTAGACAGCTGGATGTTCACTTTCTTGAGTAAAATCTAACACGAGCAGCAGCGTGTTGAGCATGGACCATTCCACTGAAAGCAGATGTTTAAACAATAATTGTGACTAACTGGATTCTTTTTAGGAAAATCATGAAAAATTTGAAGACGATTTTAAAATAAATTAATAACTTTTGATACTGCAACCCAACATGTGCAAGTGATCCATGCTGAAGTCATGAAACAGGAACTCCTAGCTAACACATAACACCTGAGCTTGGATCTTGTTCTGTTACCTGCACTACATGCTTTCAACAACAAAAGACCTCTTCTTATGTCACCCTAATGTGGAAAATAAGATAAGATTCAGAGCGTCTTCGAAGTAAGAATGTTCTAGTGAGAATATACAAAAGGATTTCAAAAGGTCAGTAAGGCTAAGTCATTGTTTAGTATTTGTAAAATTCGCTAACTATACTAAGTGCTAATGTAAACCAATGACTTATCAAACTTCACATATTAACACCACTCTCCATTTTGTCTTCATGTGCATAAACTGACTTGCAAGGTTTCTGTCATGAGGACATAGATAGAGGCGTAGCTGTGCGTGAACACAGAGTGTTTCTCTCGACCTTGACAATGACACCTCACTGTGAAGGCAAGAGGCCGTACCTGACAAATATTCTGAAAATGAAGATACAATAACTTTTTTTTTAATTGGAAAAGCAATTATTATTTATAAGGGGTATTTCTGAATGTGTTACATGATATTCAGTGCAATTTTATATATCCCATCTGTATAGCATGACGAATATATACTTTCTGTCTCCAGAGGTGTGTCACGGCACCTTACTAGTAGTAACATTCAATTTTGTATTTCAGGATAGATTCAAGCTCTTCAGGCACTCAAGTCCAAATCCTCACTTGGATGCCTAGCTCTCTTTGATATCTGGACATTTTAGCTTCACAATTAACTTCTTGAGAATTTAAAGATTTAAAGAATTCAATTAAATAATCTTAGTTTGGAGTAATTATCAGACACTGCTATTAAGGGTTTCATCAGATCTTGGTTTGCCCTTTTTCCATGCGCTGTTAACAATGAGATGGACATTCCATAATTCAAAGTTTGTAAAATTAACAAAAATCTTGTGGAAATCTGAAACTGGAAGGTTTACTTTGTATTTAGCACTAGTAATTAAGCACTATCCATCATTTGTAAGAATGCATTCTGACCAACAATTGTGTTAAAGTGGATGAAGTCATTGTGAGATGCTGTATTAATAATGAAAGGGTAAAATGCATTATGGTTATGTTGCAATTTGAAAAAAAGATTAAAGCCAGGAACACTTTGAGCGTGGCCAGGGATACAAGTATATTGCTACAATAAAACCCCCTAACACCTGTACCTAACAGGATCCAAGAAGCAGAAAAAAACCCAAATTTAAGAAAAGCAGCGGTATCTAGCCCAGATTTACACACGACAGCACAATCATTTTGTTTCCGTATGACAGGGCTGAACCCATTTGCTTTTTGCTGAAGAAATTCACAGAGCTTCGCTTAACAGGGTTTGCTGAAAGAGCCTATCCCCGTCTACAAAGAGCACGCAGGGACTGAGAAGTTGTATTTTTAATTGTGAGAGTAAAAAACTGACTTCGGGAAGGAGCCACCCGCAGAAATCTCCATCCCATGACCGCGGCCCGGGCCAGTCCCGCAGGTCGGCTGCGCTCCCACAGCCAGCGCAGGAGTGACAGACACTAAGATGGCGGACGCGCCACACCGGTGCGAGGCAATTTCTTGAGCACGACCCTACGCCACTCTCCGCTCCTCCCTCGCCCTCCGCCTCCCTCCCATGACTAATAAGAGCAGGGCCGGGGGTTCTTTCCCCTTCCCCCGGGCGCCTCGGCCAGCTCCGCACCTCCCCTCACGGGCCGCGGCCCTTCCCGCTCCCCTCCTCCTCCTCGAGGGCGGGGAATGGCCACGCTTCGCCTTTGCAGCTGCCTTGGCCCGAGCCGGCTTCCGTCCTGCCGGCAGGTCGCTTGGGGCGGGGCACTACGCGCGTCAGGTCCCGAAAATGGCGCCCGTCAGCGGGGCGGTGCGGGCTGGTGCGAGTTACTGGGCCGTGTTCTCCCGGTGTTGCGGGAGGGTCGTGGTCGCGCCTCGCTTCGAGGGTGCGGCTTATTCCTCTGTGCTTGCGGTGAACAGCGGGGAAGGCCGGCAGAGGGAAGGTGAGAGCGGCCCGGCCCCCTCTGCTGTGGTGGCCGGGGGGCTCGGGCTGCGCCGGGCTGGGGGGGGGCTGAGCGCGGGCGGGAAGCTCAGGCCCGTGGCCCTCCTTCCTTCCCGGCTGCAGGCGGCTCTGAAAAAAGATCAAGTTTTGGTTGCAAGTATTTGCCGGAGAGCTTTTGTTTAAAAAAAAAAAAAAAAAAAAAAGAAAATCTCTATGGTAAAGGTTACAGATGCTGCGAGTAGTCTGAAGAAAGAAATGGGCAAACTGGTGTTTGCTAGACAGATTTTCAGCTCAGGATTGCAGTGGTACAGCGGACCTGCAGTGCATTGCCTGGTTTTAGATATTCCAAGTGAGAATTTCATCGTTTGTTAAGGGATGTGTACTCGTGTTAAGCATTGGATGTCGTGCCTGGCCTCAAGCTGAGCTGTTCAGGGTGTTCTGGGTGCAGATGGAAACTGTTGATCAGGGTTGTACCAATATTTTTCCGAAGGCTGGGCGGGCACTTGTCATCTGCAGATTCAGGAGCAGGCTAGGTTGCTGAAAGGGCCTTTAAGTGGTGTCTGATGTGAGGGCCTGTGGGCAGGAGTAAAAGGTGACCTGACCTGAAACTGGATGTTTGTAACAGAAATAATAAAGACTGCTATGAATGAAGCCTGTTTGTGAAAGCACCACAAAAATGGCAGCTCGAGGGGTAAAAGAATGCTGTGTATTAGCTGTTGCAGAGCCCTGTATGTTTTCTTTGGTTTAAGTTTTTATATAGCAAGAAGGCAAAGAACAGAATTGGATCCATAAAATACTTAAATAAGGAAGATGAAAGAACTGTGAAATTTACAAGTTTTCCCAAGGCTTATGTGGGGTAGGGTTGTAAGACAAATTACTGAGGCAAAAAGAACCCAAACATCCACTTCTGAATCCCATTCAATGTTTTTTTGCTAAATACATACTGTATCATAATGTGGCAACAACTACAAAACAAACAAACCCAACCCCAAGCTCAAACAGGACACTTGAAAAGTACATATTGTCAGATTCACCTTCATTTTTCTGACTATTATAAAGGCCACATTGTTTTGGTGTTGTTTTTTGGAGTGGGGGGTTGAAAGTCATTAAATTAGAGTTTGAGGAGGGGGAGGAAATGAAGACAAGAAAGTTAAGATTTTCATTTAAATTGAAAATCTAGTGGTATTTGATATCTTCATTTATCATTAGGAGTCCCTCGCCACAGCTCCAGCTGAAGTCAGTTGGTTAAAAAGTTCAGCCATATGGTGGCTCAGGCCTGCTAAAAGGGAGTAAACTCTTTCTGTTGCATCTTCTCTGGAACTGCTCAATAAGGCAGATCAACATGGTAAAATGGCAGGAAACAAACCCATTGGTTTGTTCCCCATCCCCAGCTCAAGAAGAAAACCAGTTTGATGTGCTGACTGTTTATACGGAGGTTAGATGAGCTTGAGAGTGGCACAGGAGAGGATGTGAAGACGTGCTGTCAGAAGGAAGGGATGGAGCCATGGGATCCTCCTTTTGGTAATAGTGAACTGTTAGGTTTGGCAGTCTTGTACTGCTGGTGGAGAGTGATTTGGGATTTAACAGCTGTGTGGGAAAGCGAAAAGGAAGCACAGTTACGAAGGGAAAAGTGTACTTGTACTCATCTCATTTTTCTCTCCCGCTGTGTCAAGCTGGAATAAATGATGCTAGCAAAATGCATTTAGGCTTGTAACCGCTAGATTATTGTTAATGTGTTTCTAGGATAGACCCAGACAAAATGGCTTACAAGCTTTTTCTAATCTTAAGTTTCAAATAATAAGTGAGCAATCTCCAATATGGGTAACTGATCTTCCCCTTCTTCCATGTAAAGGCTGGGAAGTATTAGTGTATATTGTCTTTGTAAAAGAAAAAAAGCATACAGGATTATGCTGCATTTTTTTTCCACAAAACCATATAGTTTGTATTGAAAATGTTTCTTTTTCTTTCAGCTTCAACAAGGAGAAGAGGCAGGACACCACAGTTCATAAGACCAGTAAGTACTGAAACTGTTGTCAGTTAACTCAGAGGTGTTTGAAAAAGTTTTCTAAGCTATATGTCATAACGGTTTGTACAGGAACCCCTTCTGCAGTCGAAACCTGGTGAAACAATCCACTGTGACTATTCCAGAACCAGCACCTAGCTTCTTTAACCTCCCAGCTGTTTTCTGTCTGTGTTCTCATAAAAGCAAAAACATTAACAATAACAAGCTAACAGTTGTATTGACACCATGTGCTGCAGGTCTTAAAAGTAACTTAAAGTTGCATTTAAAATAAAACCAGACATTTTAATGTTATTTTCATTATGAGTTTACAGGATTTGTAGTGGTTGCTTTCTGGCATAATTAAAAAGCCTGGTATTGTACATAAGTGAAATTGTTCTTGCACAGCAGAATTGTATCTGAACATCTAATCACTGAGAATTTTCTTGGTTGTTGTACACAAATTTCAAAAGTAGTATATTATATGTTATGATTTTTAAAGGTAAATCGTAAAAGTGGACCTGGCATGTATTAAATTTGTGTTGAACTTCCAAGAGCAGATGTAATGATACGCCAAAGCAGTCAGACCAGCTGACTGCATATACACATTTGTCTTTTACCCTTCTAAATTAAAAATTAAGGTTTGGGGGAAAGAAACAGTGACTAGATTTATTTTTATCTTTTTTTTTAAAGAGCATTTGACTGGAACCTTATTCAGCTATTGGAAGATGTAAGCTATTTCTGCAATATAGTAATTCATCGTTCCTATACTGGAATTTCTATAGCAAGTAATTTCAGAGTTATTAATACCTACTTCTCTTAACATGAACTTGTTCAGACTTTCAGAATTCTAGAATTTTAAAACCCATTTTCTTCCCCCCCACCAAATGCTTAGGCACTTTAGGAAATAGAGTTTGCAATTAAATAGTGGTTTGATGACTCACGCCCCCCCCCTCCCCCCCCCGCTGACGTATCACAATGCAAGAAGATAAGTTCTTTCTAAGCATTTCTGAACTAAAATGCAATTGAAGACTGGGAAAGGCCTGCTATCTAAGCTTTAAGAGGCTATCTTTTAAAAATTCCTTTACAAATGAGCACTATTTATTCCTGAAATAACTTGTGTGTGTTGCTCCTGCTTTGTCTCACAAAACAGGTATATCTCCCATCAAATTAATTTTTATAATTTTCTATTTATTAGCATGCACCTCCCAGAACTGAGAAGATGGCTGTTGATCAGGACTGGAGCAGTGTTTATCCAACAGCAGCTGCATTTAAACCTGCCTCTGTGCCTCTCCCAATTCGAATGGGTTACCCAGTGAAGAGAGGAGTTCCTCCACCAAAAGAAGGCAACTTAGAACTTATAAAGGTAAGACACATGCCATTGATGTGTGGTAACTTTAAAAATTATTATTCAATAACACTGCCCTGCTTTGATTAAAATATTTGTATTGGATACTGTTTTATTAAATAGGATAATGATCTATTTAATTTCTAAATTAAATGGTAACAAATACAAATATAAGTAACAAATGAACAAAATCAGGAGACTTTTTTAGGAATATCATGCCTGTGACTTTTGTAATGGGGTGGGGTTAACTCTTCTGCTAAATCAGATTTGAGAAGAGTTGTCTTATCTCAATATTTTTAAGCAGCGTATTGTACTACCTTAAATGTTAAAAGTGTAATCACATTTCAGTAATGCCCCTTTATTTATGAACGGACAAAAAGCTATCTTGGTAACTCTTAATATGTCTGTTTCAGATTCCCAATTTTTTGCATCTTACTCCTCCTGCAATTAAGAAACACTGTGCAGCTCTTAAAGGTGAGGGGTTTTTTTGGCTTTGTCAGGGTTTTTTTTTTTTCTGTATTTTAAAAGCCATCTCTCTTGGGAGTTTTAAGACAATGTAAAATGTGACTGTGACGAAGTAGAAGGTGAGACATGGTCCACCTCTGAAGCTGGTTATTTGTCAGGCGTTGGCTAGTGTTGTATGCTTTCTTGTTGCTGCATTGAGTCATACAGGTGATGGGCAGATATGTCTTAGGAGGTTTTCAGCACACCAGTAGGGCTTGTATTTTACCTTTCCATTAGGCCCTGCTTTTACTGGAGAATTTATAATTCAGTGTCTTAAGGAAGATGAGTGATGAATGTGACTCAGTTCTCAGAAGATTTTCTGCGATTAAACTCAGGTTTAATCAGTAGTTGTTCTGGCATGCATTAAAAAAAAAATGATATTAATAAATGAAATCCTCTGTCAGAGCAAGATCTGCTGGGGAGATATGGGATCTAATGAAGACCAAGAGCATCTCTGCCAGCCAGCAAGGCAATAAGGAAAACCTAACGAGGAAGTTAGCCTAAAGAGAAGTGAAGGCACAAGGGGTCAGGGAGGAGATAGAATCATTTAGGTTGGAAAAGACCCTTAAGACGAAGTCCAACTGTTAACCTAACACTACCAAGTCCACCACTAAACCATGTCCCTAAGCACCATGTGTACTCATCTTTTAAATACCTCCAGGGATGGTGACTCAACCACTTCCCTGGGCAGCCCGTTCCAATGCTTGACAACCCTTCTGGTGAAGAAATTTTTCCTAATATCCAATCTGAATCTCCCCTGGTGCAACTTGAGGCCATTTCCTTTCATCCTATCACTTGCTACTTGGGAACAGAGATCAACACCCACTTCATTACAACCTCCTTTCAGGTAGCTGTAGAGTGATAAGGTCTCCCTTCAGCCTGTATAATAAGAGATAAGAGGCCTGTCTTGAGTTTTCTGTGTACAAATTCATGCAGCATAGGAAACAGGAGGAATTAGAAGTCTGAGGAGTCACAGAAATGCAGAGCGAAAGCTTGTATGACTGAGATACAGGCAGGGATGATGTGGAGGAGAAGCTGACCTGTACCCAAAAGACAATTTCGGATGCAGAGCTTTGCAGTGAGATGCATAGCAAACTGGTTAAGAATTTGAGAGTTGGGATCAGAGGAGAAGCTGAAAAAGATGTCTTGGTGGCCATCTCCCACAGACTGCCTGGTTGAGAAGAGGAAGTGGATGAACAGTGGAAAAAAAAAAAGCCTCACAACTGCAAGCTTTGATTTTCTTGGGGAACTGCAGCCATCTCAACATCTGCTGGAGGGTTAACAGGATGGGATGGAAGCAATCTAGGAGATTCTGGAGTGTGTTGCCAATAATTTTTGATGCAGGTGCTGGACAAACTGTCTATGGGAAGGTGCTGTTGCACATGCTTCTGGCAAGTATGGAAGAACTGGTTGGAGGGAGATGTCAGGGTTGCTGGCAGCCTTGGTTGCAAAAAGATCATGGAGCTCAAGATCTTGAGAGAAGCAAGGAAGGCAAGTAGTGTATTGAAGGCAATTTCTCGAAGACGATTGAGTTGACTAGGAGACATGCGCTATTGGATTTGTTGTTCAGAAACAAGGAAGAACTGGTCAAGCATGTGAAGGTTAGGGGCATCCTTGGTAACAGTGGTCATGAAACTGTGGTGTTTAAAATCCTGAGAGAAGTGAGCAAGACAGACAGTGGAACTACAGTCTGGACTTCAGGAGAGTGACTTTAGTTTATTCTGGAATCTGTATTGCTTGGCAGATCTCACAGGGGAATCTCCTGGGGAACAAAGTGGCCCATGAGAGCTGGTGGATGTTAAAGTTCCACCTCCTTAAAAAAGCAAGAATGGTCCATTCCAGTGTGCAGAAAGTTGAGCAAGTATGGCAGAAGGACAGCATGGGTGTGCAGGGAACTCCTGGGTGACCCGAGATGCAAAAAGGAAGTACACAGGAAGTGGAAGCAGGTAAAGACTATTCAGGAGCAACAGGAGGTTTTTGCCTGACCATCTTCAAGAAGGGCAAGAAGGAAGACGCAGGCAGCTGCAGGTCAGTCAGCCTCACCACATTCCCTGGAAGATTATGAAGCAAATCTTCCTGGAAGCCATTTCCAAGCATGCAAAAACATGCTTTATAACAAACTGAATAGCAGTAGAGAGCACAACCTCAGCAGGTCTTCAGATAATAACGAATTGTGGGGGGGAACAAGTGATACACTGCAGAACAAAGCTGCCATTCAGAAGAATGTTAACAGGCAGGAAAAGAATCCTCTGCAAAGACCCTCATGAAGTTGAAGGCAACTGCAAAGTCCTGCGTCTAGGTTGGAGTAATGCATGCAGTGGTACAAGTGGAGGCGGGGGGTGGTGGTGGTGGCAGCAAACAGCTGGAAAGAAACTTTGCAGAAAAGGTCATGTGGAGCCTGGTGGGCATTTGAAAGTTCAATATGAGTCAGCAGTGTGCCAGTGTGGCAAGGAAGGCTAACAGCATACTGGGTTCTAGCCACCACACTCAGGAAATTAATTCTTTTCCCTCTATTGAGTGTTGCATTTGGTTCTGGTGTCCCCAGTACAAGAAAGACGTAGACTGTTTGGAGGAGGGCCACACAAATGACCAGAGGGCTGGAATGCCTCTCCTGTGAAGAAAGGCTCAGAAAGTTGGGGGTGTTCAACCTGGAGAAGAGAAGGCTCTGGAGGGACCTTATTGTCGCCTTTCAATATATAAAATGGGCTTATAGGAAAGATGGGGAGAGACTTTTTACCAAGGCCTGCAGTGACAGGACAAGGGGCAATAGTTTTAAACTGGAAGAAGGTAGATATTTAGATCGGATATAAGGAAGACATTTTTTACAATGAGGGTGGTGAGACTGAAGAGCTTGCCCAGAGAAGCTGTGGATGCCCCATCATTGGATGTATTCAAGGTTGGGTTGGATGGGGCTTTGAGCAGCCTGATCTAGTGAAAGATGTCCCTGCCTACGGCAGGGTGGTTGGGTCTAGGTGATCTTTGAAGGTCCCTTCTGACCGAACCATTCTATGATTCTTCTGTTTGGCAATTGTGAGGCTGCATCTGGAGTACTGTATCCTGTTTTGGGGAATCCAGTACAAAGAGAGACATTGAAATACTGGATCAAGTCTAGCAGAGACCCTGCTGTTATCTAAATGAGTATGGTTTCTATAAATAGTACTTGTAAAAAGATACATTGCAATAAATTAAAAAAACCCAACAAAATAACAGATATTACATGGAGTGTTTTCTCTTTATTATACAGATTTCTGCACTGAATGGCCAAGTGCTTTGGACAGTGATGAGAAATGTGAACAGCATTTTCCTATTGAAATTGAAACAATAGATTATGTTTCTGCAGGGACATCTATTCGTAATCCCAAAGCAAGAGTGGTGACATTAAGAGTAAGTAGTATTTTTGGTAAACGGCCTTTGTTTCAAAAACCCAAATGCTTGGCTTTCTTTTCAAAACATGTACAAGTATGATATATTGTAAGGAAATGAGGGAAATGATTTACTGAATGTCTGAATAAAAAGCAGTGGATTTCCTTAAGTATATTGCAGCATGTTAGAACTGAGGTTGTAAGGTTATGGATATGTATTTATAAATTAAGTCTAAGCTCTAATATAAACAAAATAGTGTACCTTCTGAAGAATCTACTTACAGAAAATGTCTTGCTCAATGTCTTGCTTGGGCTCTCGTTACAACTTTATAGACCCTGGAAGTGCTCAAGTATTGAAAGATAGGTCACATGAATGCAGCACTATTCATAAGTATTGAGTTGGCAGGCCTCTGGGCATCAGTGCGTGTGCAGTAGGAGCAGCAGCCTTCTGATCATAGGATCATGGGGTACCTGAGGTTGGAAGGGAGCTCAGCAGTTTCTCAATCTGACCTGCTCAAAGCAAGGTAGGTATGAGATCAGATCAGGTTACTTAGGACTTTATCCAGTTGGGTCTTGAAAACTTTCAGGGCTAGAGATTGTACAACCTTTCTGGACAGCCTGTTCCAGTGCTTGCCTGTCCTCATGGTAGTAAAGTTAGGATTTGCTGTGGCTTTTGAATATGTGTTTTGAGATGACATTTGAGCCTATCTGAAGAGCAGCAGCAGCAGTGGGGTCAGTGATAGTTGTGCTCTTACTCTTCATTACAGAAGTTAAAATATTGCGTGACACCACATGCACATAGAACCTATACAACATCTAATCATGGCAACTTTGGACGGCAGTAGTTCATTTTGTCTGTAGGAGTCTCCACTTTCCCTTTATGTTGTAAAACCTTTTGGTTTTGGCTGTTTGGGCTGAAATTTAATTTGGTCTGTCATTGACTTAAATATGCATTTCACACCGCTGTTAGCAGTAACTTCACCCTGCCCTTGTAGTCATTGCATACTAGAGTTTAGCCTTTTGTCTCCTAATTCAGATCCATGTTCAAGAGCAATTTTTTCACAAATTTGTATGCATTAGAAGTAAAAGGAAATGGGGTGTTTCTGTGAGAATAGAAGCCCCTGACTTCATGCTGGATTGTGAATGTGTGCAGAGGCGGCACACATTGGACCCCTTCTTGTTCCCATATTCAGTTCTCAGATGGAGTAATACTGACATTTGCTGGTCAGTGGTGGGCATGGTGTCACAGGTAGGGGGAAGAGCTCAGCTGCTCAAACAGCCTTGACTCTCCCATTAAAAACACCAGGTGGTGAATGTATGTGAATTTCTGGCTTTCTAAATCATGTAAAACATTACTATGTTAGGTAGAAATGTCTTCTGTTAAATGTGGCTGTTGAGAGACAAGATGTTGGACTAGGGGCTGCCTATGCTGCTGTGGAGAGGGTAATTCAAAATGATACACAAATAAGCATGTCTGTATTATCCTGTCTAAATCTGTCCATTAATGTTAACTGGCCTTGGTACTTTTAAGACATTATGTGGATGTGTATTATACATGTATATTAAAAAAAGGAGGGGTTGGAGTGGGAGACAAAAACTGAACAACTATCCATATGCTTTTTCAGTTACTGGTGTTCTGATCCCAGACTTCATTAATACATTCTTTGTCTGATTAATCCTCTGACAACAAAATCTGCCTAAGGAGGGGGAAGAGCAGGATTTAAAGGTGAAAGCAGATGGCACTGGGTCAGATAGTGGTTGAGTTTCTATCAATGAGAGAGCATTTACTGTGCTCTGTGTTACAGACTATGATAAGCTCTCTGATGGATCTTCATGATAAGATTTCCTTTTTTAAATAGTTTAAAAGTTAAACCTTTTTAATCTTAATTAAAAAAATTATGCCTTTTTTCTACCAGGTATCATACTGGAGATGCTAATTTTTCATTTCTAATGCCAGTATTTCTTGCCATTAAATTTATCCTAGTCTATGCTCAAGTGGAATTGTCTACATTGTGCCAGACAACATAGTACTACAGGATGTAAAATGAGACTTTTTTTAAATCAACTGCTGTTCTTTGTGGAGCTTAATTCATCTAAAATTAAACATAAAATAGTCTGTAGCATTGCAGCTAACAATTATAAGCTGTCTAGTTGCTATCCCATTTTGAAGCAAGTAGCCATATAAATATTTTTCACTTTGAAGTGACTTTGGATTAGTAAGAACAACATATTTTTTGTGATCATGTAATACAGGCAACAGACCAGATAGCTTTTTAGTTTTTGTAGGAAAAGCAAGTCATGTGGAATAAAATCATAGCTCTCAACAGGAAATTTCAGATGATCACACTGTATGAAGGCAGCATGATACAACTATGATAATGCCATCCTTTTAAGACAGTGCAAAAAGTACTACTCAGTGAAGTTGTTTTGCATTGTTGGTTCAAGCAAGCCAATGCTGGACATCTGGGCTGGACTATCCCATTAAGTTTAGATAGTCATGGTCATAAAGGGCTTATATGCACTAGCAGTTGTATGCTTGCCAGAAAGTTCTGTCTGAAACCCTTTAGAGTTTGGAACAGTCTTTCTTTCTGTGAGTGTTAGAGAAAGATACTGTTAAGAAAATGTGTTTTAGAAAAAGGTTTCTCATCAGTTTGGGTGACCATTGCCAGCTAGCAGTGAGGCTAGTCTGTTCTGTAAGGGAAGGTGATCCAGGGGCAGAAAGGCAGGCAGGGGCAGTGACCTCCCCAAAAAAGGTGCAGCTACTACCCAAGCAAGGTGAGGACAGGTCTGGTAATAGTAAGCTCGTCCATCCAACAGACCAGTAACCACCTGACAAGTTCATAATGATAAGGCAAGCTTGAAGTCGAAGGGGGAGGACAAGTCAGTGGACCAGGATTAGGTCTAGTGACAGTAACTAGGATCAGTCAACAGTCTGGTGACTGTCAAGCCAATCCACAGCGATGCAGTAGGTGAGGTCAAGCCGGGAATTGAAGGATGTGCATCGGGTCGGTCAGTGTGGGCCACAGCTGGGCCCAGACATAGCTGCACTGTGGCTCTGGCAGAGACTGAGGCTGACTGCCTATGCTTAGATGCAGCAGGTCCACCTTCTCATAGCTCCTTTTTTTGTCACCACTGATTCAAGGCTACATTGCTGCACTGTAGGGAAGGGCACTGTATGTAAGGTAGCCTTGAGCGCAAGCGGCCAGACCCTTACAAGGGGATGCTGTGCATAAGGGAACTTGGAAGTATAGTGCCTTCAAAAGTGATTGTTCATGGTTGTTTTGGGCTGCACTAAGAATTCAGCTCTTTTCTTGCAGCTTGACTATTGCATTAAAGGCTGGATGCACCTAACAGGTCAGACAGAATTAAACTTGACAAAATGTGAGCTGCGGGGCAAACCGTGGACAAATTAGTAAAAGACTATTATGTCTTCATGTGTTTAATATTCCTCAGCAACTCTCACTTAATAGAAACTTATGTTTCCATCACCATGTATCTTTAGACTGTTAAGGTTCACAGCCTTTTTATTTGCTATTGTGTAAACAGATAGCTAAAACCAGCTTGCTTTACTTTTCATACTTGTTATTGCATATAGAAACTAGCTTCAGACCAACTTCTTAGAGTTTTTTTTTTAAATGAGCACTAGTTATTTGTTGTGTATCTTGCATTCATGGGTTTTCTGGTATTGAAACAGAAGGCAAGCCATTCATGGTATTGTTTGATCAATTATGTGAGATCAGAAAGTTCTGGTCCATTATATTGTTATCTCTGTGCTTCTTTGCATACTTCTATTAATCTCCCAGTAATGATTTTGAGAATTCTGATTTGATGTCTCTTGAACTGATGTCTTTCCTCCTCTTTTGGATGTTTGTCATAAATATTTTTGATATATCTTAGTATTAACTTTACTTATCTGTATTTGAAAAAAAATATATCTGAAAAAGATTCATTTTTCCATGTGACATACATGTGAATATGAAATCAGCTACAAACTAAACTGACAGCTCTTTTTTTCCGCTGAAAAAAAGTTTGAGTAGAAGTATTCTCCCCCAGCCCCTCTGGTATTTGGATGAAAAGAAGTTTACTGTTTGAATACTCAGATTATATTTGCCTTGTGTTAAGACTTCTAACATGTGATACAATCAGAAGAAATTCTGCAAATGCATACTTAATAGCTCTTTTAATTCTTGATAAAAGATGTGCCTAACTATCTCAAAATATTTGCAGGGTGCAGAGATTGTGTTTATCCAAGTAATTAAAGGTGTTTTCTCTTGTACGTGAAGGTTAAACTTTCTAACCTGAATTTGGATGACCATGCAAAGAAGAAGCTCGTTAAACTTGTAGGAGAGCGGTACTGTAAGGATACAGATATGCTCACAATTACAACGGACAGGTATGGTTACAAGAAGGGGAAAAAAAATGCCTGTAGGAATGGTCACAGTATAGAAAGGGCTTGGTGTCTTCAGTATTATCAATTATTGTCTTGGTAAATTGTTATATTTTTAAGGCCAAATTATGACCTAAACATACCAGTACTCCTGTTATTAACTTTTAAAATTGTAATGGACAAATCACATAAGGTTGAACCTAATATTTGTTAAATATGGTTAGTTATTGAAGCTCTGTGTTTAAGTCTCAAATGTTACTTCAGAGTAGTTGTCATGTTTTCCAACAGAACCCATAGGTTCTGTTAGTTTTAACAATGGTCTGAAGTGTTTCATGCAAGAAAAATGACATCAGTGACCAGACATTTCTTGATGTTTTGTTTTTCTAGACATAAACAAATTACTGTAGTTATTTACAGTTATGCTCAGAAGGCTGCATTGGAGAAATGTGGTTTTTGTGTTGAATTCTGAAGCATTTAAGAGAATACATATGTATTCCTAAATTCACAATACACTTTAATTCACAGCTGCTTTCAGTGGTAGGAAAAACATTATTGGTAGTCTTTTCTGTTTGCATGTTTTGATAGAATTCTTCTCCCCCCCCTTAAATTTCCTATCCTTTGGTATGATATACTGTTTTATTCTACATAAATACAAAATGGATAAAATTGTGCATATATTTTTTGACTATACTTAGAAATCTGGGTAGTTTCTGGGACCACTTGCGCAACCAACAGTTTCATTTTCCTAGCAAGACTTATTTTGTGGCTAAAACATTAGGATAGCTGAAAGGAGCTTACCCTCTAGAGATCTGTGAATGGTCTCATGCTGTGTTCCAGAAGAAACTCTTAATGTGCCTGTTGATATTTCACTTTATTTCTGGTAATTTCTAAGGCTCAGGCTCGGAGTGGTACCCCTTTCTTTAATACAGGATTTTCAAGGCTGGTATTTACATTACTTTTAAACAGAGGCTCTTTCACTATGAAAGAAATATACTTTAAAAGCTTGAGTCCTTTTTAAAGTTTATTTGCTAGAATAATCATAGTCCCTAGTCATTCAGATGAGTGGGGTTTTTTTGAGTGTCTCAGATGTAGTCTTGCATGATTGAATTTGTTCTGCATCAAAAAGGGGGGTGAAGGAGCCTGTAGGAGGAGGTGAGTGTGAGGAGACAGGAGGTTGATCAGCATGAGGAAGAGATTAATGTCATCAAATTCTCAGCAGAAGGTTTTGATGACTAGTTTTAAGAAATAACACTGTTTTTGCAGGACTGTCTTATCACAAATAATTTTACTGGTGATCCTGTTTTGACTTACAGCTACATTGACTTAAACTTTTCTTCTTAAATTGTTGGCTAGATTTCCAGTTCTGAACTGTATTTCACAGCTGTTTTCACCAGTCATTCCCCTCCCTTCAGATCTGGGGAGAAAAAATAAATCTGGTTTTAAGGGAGTTCAAACTTAAAGTATGTTGGATTCCACTTTGGCACAGAGGGCAAAGAAGTTTTTAACGTTTCCTGAAGATCTGTAAATTCTTGTATTTTGTACATTTTGCTACTGACTTGCAGATGCCCATTCTTCCATGTTCTTAATACTCATGCCTTTATGATGTTACTCTTGATGATGTGTAACTCAAAGGCATGTGAATCAAACACACATTTTCCCTAAGATTCCCTACATTACAAATCAGAAATGTTGATGGGAAGTTTAATGTTTTGTTCAAAAGTATATTATAGTGGCTTGATTTCAGAAAGATTACCGTTGTTTATGAATTTTCAGGTGTCCGCTAAGAAGACAGAACTATGATTATAGCATACATCTCCTCACCGTTTTGTACCATGAATCTTGGGTAAGCAGTCATGAATAACTTGAGCTAATGCACATGTACTCTCTACCGCACTCTTTCGTAGCTTAGAAAAAGTTGCATGACTGTGTGCTGTTAAAGTAAATTATCTTAGATTCTTTTCTTCCACCTCGCTTTTCTTCAAATTCGACTGAGATCAGTTACCTCTGAATCTGAATTTCCCAGTCAACTTCTAGTGCATTTTTTTAACTTCACAAGTTCTATTCTGTTGTTTGTGTACATAGTTTGCCTCTTTTCAGAAGTTCTCTAGTTTTTGACCTTAAGAGATTCTTTCCCAATACTTCGTTTCTGACAACAACAAGCCTAAAACTGACCCTGAGCCTAGCAGAAAACACCTTAATTCTCGGGATTCCTAAAGGTACGTTTTGTTTGGCAGCATGCTGGGCTGCCTGTGCACAGTATTCAGATATTAATTGGGGGCATACAGAGAAATGGTGTACTCTGTGATTATCACCTTTTACCTATGCATTTTTAACTGTGACCATGTTTAAAGACAAAAACAAGTCTATTCCAAAAAAGCCGGGGGGTATGTTACTGGCTTTAAAGCTATGAAAACTAACATACAGCACAGTATCTACATTTTGCCTGATTCCAAACTCTTATTTGTTACTTAGAATCTGTCTTTTCTTGGGCTCTTCCTAGGCTTCGGTAAACCATTGCTGTAATTTGGAAGTATTCAGCTTCTTAAATGATGTTTCACAAATCTTCCTCAGGCTGGAAGGAGTGAGGACTTAGGCTGCTTTTTTGAGCTCCCTTTTGCTCAGAAAAAGGGACATCCTCCCCACCTTCCGTTAGTTTTAGGATTTCATTGCATCAGAGTTAGTGTCCTGAAAAATATATAAAACTCCTTACACTTGCTTTGGTAGAAACATTTAGATAATGTAAACTTTTCTATAATCATTTGGGATATGGCACATTCGGAATTTTTCCCAGTAGTTTTTGTTAAATGGTTATACATGTGAAATATCCAATATATTAATGTATATCCAATGTGTTAAATATACTATTCCAATTTATTGATAATTTACTACAATTCTCAAGTAGTCCTCTAAATATAATAAGAGATCTTTAGACCACAGGTCTGTCTTTTATAGTGAATTCTTCAGACTTGTCTCCTGTATTTTTATAGTTAATTTTGTTGGTTATAAGTACTGCCTTAAACAATTTTACAGCCATTTTTTACATAAAACAAGGTAGCAGTCTGAAATGAAATTGTTGAAAACCCATGCTTATGTTTGGGATAACTTAACTTTGTTTAAATGTAATATGTTATTAGTCACCTTGAGACACAGTGAAAACCTTCATCATCGGTATATTTCCATAGATGTATTCTTTTAAATAAGTTGTAGCTGATTGCCTAACAGAATTCATACTTAATGTTTTCAGTTGTTCTTTAGTATTTAAATTAAATCTCCATATTGGGCATTTTTATGAATTTGTGTTGATTTTTATCATTGCAGTGATATAAAAAAAACATAAGGAGGATGAGCTCTATTTCCCTTTCACTGGAAGTTGCCTTGAAGGATATGTTTTGTAATTGTATAGTGCATCAAATTAAATTCAGCTTATACTAACATCTTAAAAGATATGTTTACTTTAGATTTCAAGTGCTTTGTACACATGGATATTTTTGTCCCCATCAGCATTACATTGCATTACAAATCTTTAATGACAGATCAGTTTCCAGTATTAAGCAATGACAAGAGAGCTAGATGCTGCTCACTTTATTAATTCTAGATGAACACCACATCTGTCCTTTACTCTAGCATTACTTAGTGATGGAAGACAGGGCTATATGATATTGCTATGTGAGTGTTCAGTGTGTATTGAATATGCACAAGTCTCTTGCCCTTTTATTACCTTTCAACTTCCATGTTAATATTTGATGAGTTCCTCAATCAGTTGTAATTGTCTTTGATTTCCATGAAAAATTAATGGTCTCCCAAGGCATGTGGGTTTTTTTGTGACATGTTTTGTTTTGTGGAGTTTTTTTCCATGATCAGTGGTAATGCCTTTTAATAACTTGCTGAAAGATAGTTTGGATACATTTTGTAAACCATGAGCAGACAATGTATAGTTTAATTTGTATGAGCTGTAATAATGGAGGGGGATGGACAAGGACTAGCCTTCCATGTAGACGGTAACATCAATCCTGTTCACAGAACTAATTGCAATATTTTATGACTTTCCCAGCAGACTAGTGCCACACTTTTCAGGCATGTGGTGATGGAATTCAATAAAAAAGAGGGCAGTGTTCCATTCTTGCAAAGTGAAGGGGAAGATGGCTGCATGTAAATTTTGCCCTCAATCCTGAAAACTTTGCCTACTCTCTCTAAACATGGCATAACTCTATAATTTATGTTAATTACTGGTTTACTGAATTTTGTGAACCAGCAAGCATGTGAATATATAAAAGGAAAAACTGCATGCAGATATACATCAGGAAATGTAATTGGAAGTGTAATTATGTTTTAATTGCCAATGATGCATAATTCTTTTATTACAGTTACAAACTAGAGCATCCAAGTAGCTTAGGAATCTGAAACCTTTTCAAAAGAATGACAGTTCTTTGTGGTTTTGTTGGGTATGTAGTGAACTATGTGCTGTGAAGCTCCATTGTGTAGAGATGCATTTCCAGCAGAAAGTTATTCTTAATGTAATGAGTATGAAGAGTTTAATTCTGGCTCATCTGTCTCTGTATGCATGGTTAGAAGACAAAATTTATCACTGTGTCAACAGTAGCCTCTATGTTACAAATTTTCTTGTATGCTTTTCCAGTCTTGGCTTCCATAAAAACCCAGGGCATCCACAACTCACTGATTCTGTTGCTATTGCAATTAGAGGGCTCAGGTGGTGTTAGTTTGCAAGCACCCTTGCTGTTGCATATTTCAACTGTAACTCCATTACAAGTGTGTGCAGACAAAATAGAAGGGAAAGAGAGGAGATTACCAACAATTGGTACAAGTATTGTGCTGCCTCAAGGCTCTGAGTGTATTGTTAAGAATGGGTTTCTTTCTTGGATTGTGATGGGAGGAAGAGAGTTTGTTTGCAGTTAAGTGAATAAAAGGTTGTCCAAATCAAATTTGACAAACTGGTTTCTGAGAGGTGCTACAGCCAAAGTGAGGTAAGGACGTCGATAGGTTAATGCACTGACTAGCATTTGTCTCCTCTAATATGCTAGCAGTCAATGGATGGTGCAAGAAGACAGACTAGCCAGATTGTGAAAGGCTTTGAAGATGTGTTGGAAGATTGAACCTGCTGTAGGGAAGCTTTCAGAGGCATTCAGGTGTTTTTTATGATGATGTGTTTTAAGACCCCTTTTTTGAATGCATGGGGAAATAAGAAAAATGGAAGGAATTGAAAGGAAGGAGCAACTTTACTTGATTTTTGGGGGTTATTTTTTGGCAGGGAAGGAGTAAATGAATGTTTTGGTTTGGTTTTGTAAGTGTTAGAGGAAGAAGCAAGAGTTTTCACACTGTGGGAGGGAGGGACAGGAAAAGAATCATCAGACTGTTTGTAGATGGTCAGAATAAAGTTAAGTTGAAGAAGCTCACAAAGATGTCTGGAGTCTAAAAAGGTATATTTGTGACTTGGGAATGGAGAGAGTAGCTGAAGCTATTTGATTACTTGTAGGAAAAGTGGGATACTACTGGGTAGCCTTTTGGGCTATATAGCCCCTACGAATTGGCAGTTAAAAGTAGTATTGCATTTGAAACTGTACTGTCTTTCCTGTCTTCTTGTGTTCACCCAGAATGCAATCAATGGACTTGACTATGCGGAATTCTGCAAAAGCTGAGGGTGCTCAGGACCTTTCAGGATTGTGTTAGAATTTACCAAAACGCAGTGCAGTATTACCAGTTGGTATTTGATCTGTATTTAAACAGGTAAACCCCCTTTATTTTGAAGAAAGAAATGTGATGATTTTCTTTCGTCCTCTAGAATGTATTCCCGTAGTGGATAATGCTACCCTTGCTTTTGGCAAAGGGCATCTGTAGTGCTTGTTATTTTCTGGCAAAAAAATTCTTGCTTGTTTTTTTTTTAGTAGAGGAAGTGAAGGAAGAGAAGGAAGAACATGAATTCATCCTCTGGTTCTTGATTCATCCTCTGTTATCACAGGTTCAAATGAGATACACTGTAAAGCAGAACAATTATGGGAAGCTGTTCGGAGTATTGGCAGAATATTGGTGGATTGATAGTAGTTGCTTCATAAGGCAGCATGCTGTTTCTTGAGATGGATCTGAACAGTGGGAGCAGTATTAATTAGGGATCTACATATTGTGTTCTTGGTTCAGCCTATTTGAATTACAGGCTGGCTAATGAGGTTGACTAAATCTAATGGAGAGCTCAATTTAGTTGTAGTCTGTTACTTACAGAGGTGGATAAGAAGCAAGAAGTGTAGCTTAAGATGCCAGACTGATGCATTTGGCACCTTAGTTTTGATAAATGCAGATAGATATCTGGCCTATGAGTTCAATTATCTTTAAAACATTCCGATTTTAAAACTTAAGAATGTTCATTTATTTTCTTATTTTGAAATACTTGGAGATCTTTTGCTTCCAGTTCAATAGTTTTAAGGTTATTAATCAAATATTTGTGTTTTATTAGCTTTTAGAATGTATTCAGTAGATATCTGACTTGTACCATCTGGTAAGAATTGAATTTATCTTCTTCAGAGTTTTTGTGTGATTACTTTCAAATTATCCCCCAGGATTGTGCCTGGATTAAATTAATCAAAGAAAGGGTGAGATATATTAGGTAGATTGTTAAACAGTTCAATCAGTTGCATTTCTGTTACCTTTAAATGACGGTAGTTCTTGAATGCTGTAACATCTCTCTAAACCTGAATGTATTTTTATGGTAATAAGTGGTTTTTAAAGAGTAAGTGTTTGCTGCCCTCAAGTGGTTAAAAAGATCATAAACTGATTTCTTCACACTTGGCTCGGATTAATAGTTTATCACTAAAAAAAAGTTCTGTTATGAGTTGA